TCAGTTCAGTGTTTAGCTATGGGTATCTGCTTCTACTTTCATCAGCTGCTGGATGAAAGCTCTAGGATGGTATATAAGTTAGTTGTAAATCTCATTATCAGGGGAGGGCACTTAAGGTAGCCTCTCCACTGTTGCTTAGATGGTTAGTTGGTGTCATCCTTGTAGATCTCTGTACATTTCCCTAGTGCCTGATTTCTCTTTAAACCCATAATGGCTCCCTGTATTATGGTATCTCTTATCTTAACACCTTTGCTTTTAACTCCTTTGGTTCGTGTTTCTTTTGCTAACATCATGAAGGCTACCAAGTCGCTTGCCAAGAGTCTTGCTGTGGTTTGGTTATCACCAGAGTTACAAACACTGGTCAGTTGAGTCTAAATATGACTTTAGTATCTGCTATAGCCATTTCTAGCCAAAGTTACTTGAGAGTATCAAGTTAACTTGATGTCACTTAAGAAGTAGTGATGTGACTATAATAATTTTTTAATGAAGACTGAAGTTCAGATTTTACTTTGCATCAAACTTCCCAGATTGTTAGTGTATGTGTTTCACAGATTGTTAGTGTGTGCGTATTCATGTGAGTGCAATTCACTGTGGTGTTATATATCTCTCAGTTCCTTACTTAATTATCAGTATTGATAGAATGGGAAATTTGGACTCTGATGTTTTTTTAATTCTATTTTAGTTTTTGGTAAGGATTTGGAAAACTCCCCTTTGGAACAAGAGAATGCTGGGTGTGTGGCCTGGGTGTAAGTGAACCCTTCTAAATAGGAAACTGGACTAAGAAGTGACTGAATGCTTCATAATCAGTTCTTTTGGGCACATGTAAACACAAATATTTCTTGAAGTAGTAGTGAATAAAAAAAGAAAAAGAAAAGACAAAGAACCTAGGAATAAGGTGGCACCATTTGCTAAAATGAGACAGACCACAGACTGACCAGTTATTGGTAGTTGTTTCTACTTTTCAGAAACTTTTTGGATAGTTTCTTTCATGTTTTCCATGCTAATTTTAGAATCAATTAGATACTTCCCTCAAAAAGAAAAATAATTAATCAGGAGTTGTACTATTTTTGCAACAGACATAGGGGAATGATCATCATTATATAAGGTAGGACTTTCTGCCCTGGAATATGGTTGTTTATCTAGTCCCTCTGTCTAATTTTGTCTTTTGGTATTATTCTAGGGAATTTGATAGCACATTGATTTTACCTTACCTCATCAGGGCAACTTTTGATCTGCTATTACAATGAAGTCTTCTAACATATTATTACACACACACACACACACACACACACACACACACACACACTATTTATTTTTATATTTTCATTTCTTCCTTGGATAACTTAATGAATTCTCTCAGTGTTTTATTAGTAAACTGTTGCTATATTTATTTATCAGATACATCTAACATTTATGCTCATTAATCTTTCCTAATATTGAATTTTTTCTTTATGTAACTTTTAATAAGTTATATCAGTGGTTGATTGATTTTTCTGATTTCTATTTTGTTGATATAGTAACTTAGGTCTATGTATTATCCTTTAAGAATTGCTTTATATTTATTTTGTTGGATTTGATAAAAACTGCTTTTATTATAAAGGTTTCTAGAAAGCCCACGTTACTGTTTTGTATTTCCTTTTTGATCCAGGAATTCTTTGAGATAGGATTTTCAAAATTCCCAGTAGGAGGGTCTTTTTATGTCTGATCTTGTCAATAATAATGCCTTTACTAAGTTGTGTTCAAGGATAATTATTTATAAATCATATAATTATCTACTTTGTTATCAGTGAAAATAATGCTAACAAAATAATACAACTTGAAAGTGTTGTTTGGGTACATAAAATACATAGTTTATTTTTAGAGTTTAATATGTTGTAATCATATAATGTTATTTGTGTTTTCTATATTTGATCTGTCATCAGCTGAAAAGAAAGGATTAAATTCAGCAACGATAGCATACTTCTATTTCTATCATTTGTGACTTCTGCTTTATGAATTGCATTTCTCCTTTACTTTTTATACATTTATGTTTATTTGAATTCATTTTATTCATTATATCAATTTTATTTGTAAGTTGTATATTTATATTCATTTGAGCCAACCCTTCTCCCATCTTCCTCTCCCTTCTTTTTCCTTTTTTTTTCTTCCACTTTAAAATAATTTTTGGTAGAGGGTTTTAGTATGTATCCCAGGCTAGCCTTAAACTCTTTATGTAGACTAGTATGACCTCAGTTTGGTAATACCCTTCTCTGTGACCTGAGTGCTGGAATTACAGACATAAAACATCACACTTACCTTACTCCTTTGCTTTATTGATTGATTGATTGATTGATTGAGACATGGTTTCTTTATATAGCCCTGGCTGTCCTGGAACTCACTGTGTGAGAGGCTGGCCTCAAACTCAGAGATTCTCCTGCGTCTGCCTCCCAAATTCTGGGATTAAAGGCGTGTTCCACCACACCCAGACCACCTCTTTGCTTTCTAATGTGTAATCTTTGTCCTATTTATTATTGAATTGCTTCTTATATTATCCTTTACAGGTGACTAAAAATTTTTTAATTCTTTTTTATGGTAAATACACATGGTCAGAATTATCAATGTACTTCCTATTCTGTTTGTGTTTGTTTTAATCTTTCTGTCTATATTTTTTAATATTTAAGATTTTATTGTCTTAATAATTACAACATAGTAGGTTTAATTCTCTATATGTGTATAGTATCTGTTAATGCTATAAAAATTGATAGAATGTTCTCATTCCATTTCTAATTTAAGTTTTTGTTTCTTACCTCATGTTAATCAATAAACTTGATCTTTCAGAATATTTGTATTTTAAAATATACACCTGTGTTATTGACTAATTAGTTTTTAAGACACCTTGTTGATTTCCATTATTATATATGAGCAACAAGCAGACTTGGCCTTCCCTTCCCATTTTGCCTTTGTGTGTTGCATTCTCTCTACATACTCTAAGCAAATAACATTGTCACTTGTCAGCGTCTGAGTCAGATTTTTGCTGCTATAGCAGAATACTGCAGGCTGGTAATCTGTGAAAAACAGAGGTCATTTCTTTACCATTTTGAAGACTTTGAGTGTCACAAGACAATGCTGCTGAGATCTTCTTTCATAAGAAATCTACTCCCACAGCAGCATTAATCATGAGGGCTCTCATGCATTGAATAAACACTGCTGGTCCTACCTCTTTATATTGTTGCCATGGCAGTTACATTTCAGTATGACTTAGGAGAAGGTAATCAAGCCATGGAAGTCTGTCAGTCCGATCTTCACATTTCAAAGTCTTATTTCTGTAATAAAACATGTCACATCTCTCCAGCAGTTCTTTTGGCACTTCTGCAAATGTGTTTGGTAAGACAAAGCACGGTCTTAGCAAGTTCCTTTCATTTATGAACAATATTCTCAAGAACCTGAATTTTCAAAATCATTTGCAACTCTTAATCTTAATTTGACTGCCTGGTTGGAAAATTCTTGTATCCCAATTTCTTTACATAAATCTTACTGGAAATTTCTCTATTTGGGGTGTGGAGGGATGTTTAATATAAAAATCTGAATTTTTGCCTGCTTATTTATTGGATTATTTTTGTCTTACAATCCAGAATAATTACTGAAATGTCTGTCAGTTTTTGCCATTATAGGTCAATTTGGGTGGATTCATGCCACTTCCCCCTGGCTTTTATTACTTTAAGCTCCAATTAAAAAATATTATAATGTTTGTTCATAATGTTCAATTTTTTACAACAAATTTTTGTTGCTTTTGATTCATTATTAAATTAGCTAAGACATATTTTACTTTCATTTTTGTCTATTTTTTCTTATTTCTGCCACTTTTGAAATATTTCCCTTAAACTTTTCACATGGTAAAATGTACTGCATTTGGCCCATAGTTGCATTGATTTGGATACATGCACAGAGTCATCATGACTAGACTAGTTACCACTGGAGTCCTAACAGTTTCATCATCTCCCCAAATTACCCCAGACTTGTCCTTTGTGGGGCTGTTTGTTGATGCTTCACCAAATCCTTATTTATTACTCATCATTAATGGATGGATTTTTGTAGATCTGCTATTCACACGATATTCCTGCTGTGAGTTAGGGTGGAGGTGCTGCCTAGCCTTCCACTCCCCTTCAGTTTCCCAGTGCCTCCTGTTGGGGCCACTCCTCTGTGTCACTCCTTTCTGGGCTGCCTCTCATCACAAAGTTTATCTCATTCTTCTCCCCCTACCCCCCCACCCCGTCCCTATCATACCTGGAGAAGACACAGCTCTTTACCTTCCTTCTTATTCTCTAACCCACTCGCGTTTTCCTACAAAAGCTTCCCGTTCTACTCAAATCCTCTTTACTTTTCCTAAACACAGTCCCCATGCTGATTCCCTTTATCTTCTCACTTGAAATGCTCTTTTCTTCTTTTTCTAAATTGTTACACTCCTGCTTGGAAACAATAACAGCTACTCTGCCTCCATTAGGAACTGGTTCTTGACATCCCCTCTTGGCAGAATCAATTTCTCACCTGTTCTTCTGCAATAGATTGTCCATTTTCAGAACATTTATCTTGTTGCTTTCTGTACTTATTAATATACCTGTTGTATATTAGGTTGTAATATAGGTACAACCCTAATACCAATGTGTTACCAGTCCACACAATTTTTTTTAATCCCCATCCAAGGATAGGCAGCTTTTACCCTCATTTTAGCGTACAACCCTAATACCAATGTGTTACCAGTCCACACAATTTTTTTTTAATCCCCATCCAAGGATAGGCAGCTTTTACCCTCATTTTAGCCTCATTTGGTTATCCACATATGCAGTTGAAAGGTAGATTTTTAAATTTTGGTTCATCTAGAATTTTTTTATTTTCAAAGTGATTTAATCATGTCAAATCAGCTTTCCCATTCATGGGTAGCAACAAAAACTACCTCACGTTTAGAACTTTTATAACATTTGAAAGGCACAGTCGCCACTAATGGAGACTCTTCTGCATTGCAGGTGATGCAACAGTGACAATAGCACACAGATACACACCCAGAGAACAACTGAAGGTCCACACTCAGCTGGCAGATATTATCATAGTGGCTGCAGGTAAGTCTGAAGTGACTGTTATTTGGTGGAATTCATGGTAGAGTCATTCCTGCCCTAACCTGATGCATTGAAAGAACATATGGGAGACACACATAGGTAAATGTATGATTACTGTGGACTGAATTTTGTCTTAGTATAGTCATAATATTGGTCTATGGTACCTGTGTTTTCATCTGTCACACACCATATGGAAAACACAAACGACTTTTGCAGTGATGGAGGTAGCACAGGAACAAATGTGCACTTTTCCAGTTGCTTGGGCAAGCATGACTGAGCAACATTTATAGAAACAGATCAGTGCTGGTTGGTAATGTCTTGTGGTTTAGGGAAAAAGAGACTGAATTTAATATTGAAAATTGTGTTGGTGTAAACAGAATGTCTAAGTGAGAAAGAGACAGAACCATGCTGCAACTCTGACCACACCCATGCTTGAGGCATAGGCTTTGGAGTCTTGACTTTAAAGGGAAAGGCCTAGTATGGACATCTAGTGCAAGAATGGGGGCATTTGCACAAAGGATGGTGTGTGAAAATCTGTGCAACAAACTGAGGGTGTCTGGTTTGTAAGGAAGAAGATATATAAAGAAGATTAAAAATGTATTTTGTAAAGAAAAAGGAAAAAGAAGAGTCAAATCGAATTTTATTATAAACAGAGCCCCTTAAAGCAACCTGTTCTTGAGCTGGTCAGCTCCATGTCACTGTAGTTATTAGGAAGAAAAATTTTAGATGAGTGTTCCACAGAAATATTTGATGATTTTTAGAATGACTCCTGCCATATTTTGAGTGGCATAAGTATTTCATATTCTTTTTTATTTAACTTAGTTAAAATAGTTTAATAGATCAAGTATCACACGGTAAAAGCACAAGTAAGTAGAAGTATTTTAAACACATTCTCCATAGAATGCATTACATTCCTTTTGTACATCACACCTTTTAAGACCATTGTAAAGAATGTCCAGGCACTGAATACAGTGTCATGAGTTGTTCTCCCTGACCATCAGTGTCCCTTTAGTTTTGAGATTAGGTTATTTTGTATTTTAATAAAGAAAGAAAAGCATGAGAAATATAGTCAATATGTATATGTTTACTATGATATGTTTAAATTTATTAATTTTAATCAATGGGGTAAATAAGGTAATCTGAATGATATTTTATATCCTAGAAAAGGCTAGAGTAGAGAGTTCATATGTGTGATTAATTTACTTAGAAATGTTGAGAGTCTACTGACTGCATGTATCTGATTATATCAGACATGAATACTTTCATATAGTGAGGGGAGGGTTGGATTCGTTTACCGAATAATTATTGCACTCTTAATGTGCTGTAGGAGATATTTCAAATTGTAAAGATATAATACTTAATAAAATATATTTTAGGGGGAAACAGCAAAAAGCCCAAACAATCTAAAACAACGTCAGATAAAGATAAGAGTTACAGAAAGAATATGAATGAGATACCATTTTAAATATTGATCACTGAAAATAATTTTCAAGAAATGGCCATTGAGTAGAGTCTCACTCCTGGTCACTCATGTGCCCAACGGGTCCACCCTATCTTGTCCTGCTTTGTTCCAGGGAGGTTGAGGAATGTCGATAGCCTGACCTGTGTGTTTCAGCTACTGGCTTCTGTCAAGGTTTGGCACAACGGGAAATCTGAAGGGAAGAGAAAGAAAGCTCAGGGCAGGGTATTTCTTCTCTCTTCCACCTTCCTTCTGCTACTCTCTTCTGTGTCTATGGCTCTTGTTGTCAATATTCACAGCTTGTGCTCTCACTGGGCTGTAGTAGTGTCCCATCCTCCTCCTGCGCCTTCAGGAATGGGAATGCCCATGCTTTCTCCAGTATCTAGCAACCCAGCCTCTCAACCGCCCCAAACACAGCTCCGTAAATGTTCCTTTATCACACAATGGTCTGAGGTGGATTCCACAAACTGTGTGAAGTGGAAGAAATATTCAAGGGATTATCTGAGAGACGAACATTCCTAACAGCAAGAAAAGAAATAGAAAGTCCTCTATTGAATCCCAGCACTCGGAAGGCAGAGGCAGGTGGATCTCTATGAGTTCGAGGAAAAACCAAAAAAATAAAAAAATAAAAAAATGAAAGTCCTCTATTGTATGTGGTGTGGTTCAAAATGGAGAATCTGGGGTACATTATGTATATAATGTACATAAATAGATTATGCAGGATTGTGTAAGAAATCCTGTGGGGAAGGCAGCCAAGGTAACCTCATGAGATCTTAAAGCTGTGGACTTTTTATGAGCCAAGGATGGAGAAGAGTGCAGGAGATAAGCTCAGGCTTTTGAAGTCTCCATAGACTGTCAAGAACTATTTCTAGAGAGCCAAGAGCAGCAACAGAAAGAGGTTATTACTATTTCATTTACTAGATCCAGTGTTTTTCCATTTCCTGCCTTACTTGGCATATAGTGTTTATTTCTTCTTCATAGTCAATTGCTGCATCCCTTGCCAGATCTAAAGTTTGAATGATAGATAACCTCTATCATTTTCCTGTTTAATTATATGCTACTGTTAATTTTCATGCTTTAAACTTTACAAGTATTTATAGAATATGAAGAGAGAATAAAAGTTCCAAATGAAATTAAATTTGATGAAAAGAATAATGCCAGTTTAAATTAGCTTCAACCAAACCTAATTAAATTCCTTATTCTTACGTATGGTAACTCAAGGGACGATGATTTGTTCCTTGTAGAATAAAAATGGAAGTAAGTCATTAGTAAGCTGCTACATTTAATTATGCCTAAGAGGTTAGATTTGGGTGCAAAGATTTAAACACGATGGACAGAAGTAAGATGTATTTAGAGATGCAATGATTTTTTTTTCAGAGCACAGACCAACAACCAGTGACACACTACTGCAGCAATAATGTATTCCTGGGAGACAAATAGCATGTTGACATCTTAGAAACACTAGTGTCCACGCATAAGACTCAGAATATGGTGAGCAGAGATTTTGAGTGGTCACCTTTCCCACTTAACTTTAGGCATGACCAAATTTATATTTTGAAAGTGTTGTTTTTAATGTTAATGATTTGTAAATAGTGAGCCATGTTCCTCAAAGTTTCCATTTATCGTCTATGATATTGAATGGATATTTTCCTCTAGTGGAGAAACATTTCTCAGCATGTATTTGTGCTCATGTTTTGTCTTGTCATCATGACAAATGGCAAACCTTGTGACATGCACCAACAGTCTCTTATGAATCAAATCTTATGTCGTCACAAGTCATGATGTCCAATGCTGTCATCATCCTGGAGTTTCTCCAATGGGTTCCTTTTCAAAGTCCTAGATCAGAATCTGGCTTAAGGTGTTACAAAATGTGGAAGGCAAATCAAGAGGGGTAGAAAAGGAAAGAATTGAGCTTATGCAAGGTTAACAAATGGGGTCGGGGCATAGAAAGGCACCTGGGTAAGTCTTGGTTAGTTTCTTAATAAAGCCATTTCCCTGGGAGGATCCTCTTACCACCAGAGGGCGCCAGTCCTATTTTACATGATGATGATGGTAGCTTGGCCAAAGGCCACCACCGCAAGAAGACATTTTGAAGGAAGAGACTGAGAATGAATGATATTTCTTGTCTTGTATTTTGCCTGCTATGCCTCTCACTAGTTGCAAAGACATATTGAGTGCCGGAGTACAGCCCAATATGCATCCCTGCAGTCATCCTGAAGAAATAAATATTTAGTTGTGGGAATTTTCCAGGAAGAACATTGAGATTTTATAAGAGACAAACAAAGATTGTTTGTGTTTTCACTTTAGTTATTAATAGTCATCAGGAGAATTTAAGGACAAAACATGAATATATTGGTAATTATAGTAATGACAGAAAACAAGAATTTATACTAAAAAGAGGTCAATATAAATACACAGTAGTAATGAATTATTACGAAAATGACCACACCATGCATCCTGTGTGGGAAATCAGCAAATACAATTAGCATTGGGTATTAAATAGGTAGAGAGTGATCTAATGGCAGAGGTAGCTGGAACAGGGAGGGCTGGGTCGGTGTCACAACTAGAATGTCAGCATATATGGAAGCGGTCCCATCTGGGAGTCATAAAGAACAGGGGGAGGAATGTGTGATGTGTCAGGAAGACTGATAATCTTCTAGAGATGACAGTTAAGAATTTAGTGATGAAATTTGGAAATGAGCTTGCAGAGGAAGAGTAAAAGAAGTCACTGTGTGATGATCCCGATGTATGAGTAATGTCAGTTTCTGTTCAAACTGACCTTGTCCCCCCAGTCTCCCATAATATTAATGTCACAGGTCTAACTGTATGTTATGTAATTCTGTATATAAGAACACATACCCTCAGAATTGAGGTTTGGAATAAAGTCAGAATCTTTCTCCCCCCATTGGTAATTTTTTCCAAGAAATTATGTTTTTATTAGTTCAAATTAGAAACAAGCCTGCTTCACATGTCAATCCCTGCTCCCTCTCCCTCCCCGCCTCCCTGCCCCCACCAACCCTCATCACATCTCCCTCTGCTCCCCAGGGAGGGTAAGGCCCTCTATGGGGGATCCCCAAAGTCTGTTATATCATCCTGGGCAGGGCCTAGGCCCTTCCCCATGTATCCAGGCTGAGAGAGCATCCCTCCATGTGGGTTGGGATCCCAAAGTCCTTTCTGACGCCAGGGATAAATGCTAATCTACTACCAGAGGCCCCATAGAGTGATGATACCTCCTCATTGACATTCACGTTCAGGGAGGGGTCTGCATCAGTTCCATGCTGGCCTCCCAGACATCAGTCCAGGGTTCATGTGCTTCCCCATGTTCAGGTTAGCTGTTTCTGTGTATTTCTCCAGCCTGGTCCTGACCCCTTTGTTCATCACTCCTCCTTCTGTGCAACTGGATTCCAGGAGTTCAGCTCAGTGTTTAGCTGTGGGTGTCTGTGTTTGCTTCCATCAACTACTGGATGAAGGCTCTATGATGGCATATAAGGTAGCCATCAATCTCATTATAGGGGAAGAACATTGAAGATACCCTCTCCCATATTGCTTAGATTCTTAGTTGGGGGTCATCCTAGTATATCTCTGGACATTTCCCTACTGCCAGATTTCTCTTTAAACCTATAATGGCTCCCTCTATTATGGTATCTCTCATCCTGCTCTCCTCTATTCTTCCCCTGACTCAACCTTCCTGTGGCCCCATTTCCTCCTCTTCTCCTCTCTTTGTCCCAGCTCCCTCTCCCCTCCCCCATGCTTCCAATTAGTTCAGGAGATCCTGTCCCCTTCTTCTTCTCTGGGGGGACCCTGCGTTCTTCTCTTGGGGTCCTCCTTGTTTCCTAGTTCCTTTGGTGATGTGGATTGTAGGCTGGTAATCTTTTGCTCCATGTCTAAAATTCATATATGAGTGAGTAATAAGTCAGAATCTTAAATCAGAAAATCAGAGGCTATTAAACTATGCATTTGGAGAAGCCACCATTCTGAGCTCATGGAGGAACTCAGTTTCTAGAGCACTGAGTACTTATTTGTAGTTGTCTGACGTCTTCATTCCATTATGGTAGGAATGGGCTGGGTTATTTTTATTTCTTCTTCTCTTTCTCCTTCTCCTCTTTGAAAGTTTGGTAGGTATGTGCTTAGAATAGCTTTTGGACTGGATTGGGAAGAGAGTTTGGTCAGTAAAGTATTTGCCTTAAGTATTTGCTGTATAGACACTAAGATCCAAATTCACTACACAAAACCAGGCATGATAGAATGTGCTTGTAATTCGACTGCTAAGTAGGAGACAGCCAGGTCCCTGAGTGTTCCCTGTCCTTCCAGCATAGACTGTGTGCTGAATTTTAGGACAATAAAGGACCCTATGTCAAAACGAAAAAGGTGGATGGTACCGGAGGAATGACACAAGTTAGTCTGTTCTCTATACTCAGGTACATAAACGTGTATCCCCATCCCTCTCCTCAACATCTCATGCATAGCAACTGCCAAATGAACATGTGATGTGTTGATTTTGAGATTATATCTGAAACAAGGACTTCTTCAAAGTGGTTTAAATTTATCTGATATGCCTTAAGATTATAATTCTTAAAGTGTGAAATCTTCATTCTAATAATTGGGTGATTTATATAATGTAACACTATTTTGAGGAACTGCTAATATTTCTATGTTGCCATTGTATTACAGTTAAAAAGTCCTGGGAATGAAGTAAGTTGTTTATGAAGAATTGTTGATTGTTTGGAGGGTGGGAAGGAGGTAAGGAGGGTAGGGCTGAAGAAGGGAGGGAAGGGGAACTGGGCTTGGTATATAAAATTTAAAAAAATTAAGTAAAAGAATCACTCATGCTAAACATGGTAAATATGAGTGGTGAAAGGGCTGATTTGAGTACAAATGTTAAGATTAAGGAAGTTTGAGTTTGAAGACAAAATATACCATTACAGTTTTCTAAAATATTCAGTTGAATGGCAAGGGATAGTTGAGGGCAAGACAAAATCATTTTTGTCACCTCAAAAAGGGACAGTTACCTAGAATAGGACATACATTATAAAATGATAATAGCAGTCCTTGGGTTCTCTTCTATGCCATGCTCCAAGGAAACTACAAGGTATGCTAAGTTTGTGAAGGTCCTTGGAATTATCATTATTCAGACAGGACAGCATTTTTTTTTTTATGGAATTTCCCAAAGTCCCTCCGCCCATCTGAGTAACTCAAATTGTCTTCAGTTCTGAGATAAGTGCTGAGTCACAGGCATGTTCAGTCCTGGGTTCCAGTGTCACAGTATTGAAAATGGCACCTTATCCTCTAGTCATTCCCTCCAGCAGGGTGATGAACCTCCATAGCACTGACTTTAGCATATGTATTGCAATGCTTTTAATGACAGACACCATAATATAAAATAGGACAGATGGGTCCGTCAGTGCACTGGTTTGTAACATGCATACACTTGGGTCATATAAGATGACCAGTTCCTTTTCAGCACTTCCTTATCAAATCAACACTTAGGTATATCCCTTTCAACCATCATCCTAGGATCTCAAAAGAATTTTCTCTCTGGTTTACTTCTCACTCCTTGAAGTAGGATTAGTAATTTTCAAAATGCCTGAACACTGAAATTCCAAGGTCTGGGACATGGATATAATCAGCTCACACACCCTGGGAGTATAGAGTTCACATACAGACCACAGAGGTTTTGAACAATGTAATGATGCCACACTAAACAATTGTTCTTTCCATCCCATGTTTCCCATTCTCCAGTTTCCACCCGTTAGCTAGACTCTGCTTCTCCATTTAAAATTCCTTCCCTCCTTTATCTCAAATCTTTAATGGTATATAGTGATGTGCATAGGCCCTGGGAAGGGGAGAAAGATTTAAATCCTAACTCTACTGTTTATTGATTGCCAACCTTAACATGCCATCCTATCTCTCTGAAACTCACCGTCTTTCCATATTCAAATCAATGGTATACAGGGCTCCATTCCTATGAACATTTATTGTTGTATGACATTCTGACCAGAATGAGGTAGAATCTCAATGTAAGTTTTCATCTTTATTTTAGTGATGGACAAAAAGGTTGAACAAATTTTATGTATTTATTGCTCATTGATTCCTCTTTTTGAGAACTTTTGTTAAGTTCATTTGCCCTTTTATTGATTGGCTCATTTTCTCTTTGGGTGCTTGATTTTTGAAGTCTATATGTATTTTAAGGGTTAATTCCCTATCAGATATGTAACTAGCAAAGATTCACCCCATTGTTCCTTTCTCTGTACAGAAGCTCTTAAATTTAATGTGTTGACATTTGTTATTTGTTGCTGGTATTTTTGGGCAACTGGAGTCCTATTCACAAAGTTGTTGCCTGTGCCTGCACTTTGAAGGTTTTTGTTTGTTTGTTGTGGTTTTTTTTTTTTTTTGACATTTAAAACTTTCCATTACTGCAATGAAATCTTTGATAAATTTTGAGTTTATTTTGGATAGGGTGAAAGATAGGAATCTAGTTTTATTCCTCAGG